CTTTATCCATTTTGAGTTTATTTTTGTGAATGGTGTGAGAAAGTGGTCTAGTTTCAACCTTCTGCATGTTGCTGTCCAGTTCCCCCAGCACCATTTGTTAAAGAGACTGTCTTTTTTCCATCAGATGTTCTTTCCTGCTTTGTTGAAGATGAGTTGGCCATACGTTTGTGGGTCTAGTTCTGGGGTTTCTATTCTATTCCATTGGTCTATGTGTCTGTTTTTGTGCCAATACCATGCTGTCTTGATGATTCCAGCTTTGTAGTAGAGGCTAAAGTCTGGGATTGTGATGCCTCCTGCTTTGGTCTTCTTCTTCAAAATTCCTTTGGCTATTCGGGGCCTTTTGTGGTTCCATGTGAATTTTAGGATTGCTTGTTCTAGTTTCGAGAAGAATGCTGGTGCAATTTTGATTGGGATTGCATTGAATGTGTAGATAGCTTTGGGTAGTATTGACATTTTGACAATATTTATTCTTCCAATCCATGAGCAGGGAATGTCTTTCCATTTCTTTATATCTTCTTCAATTTCCTTCATAAGCTTTCTATAGTTTTCAGCATACACATCTTTTACATCTTTGGTTAGATTTATTCCTAGGTATTTTATGCTTCTTGGTGCAATGGTGAATGGGATCAGTTTCTTTATTTGTCTTTCTGTTGCTTCATTGTTAGTGTGTAAGAATGCAACTGATTTCTGTACATTGATTTTGTATCCTGCAACTTTGCTGAATTCATGTATCAGTTCTAGCAGACTTTTGGTGGAGTCTGTCGGATTTTCCATGTATAGTATCATGTCATCCTCTTCCGTGACCTCTCGTCTGTGCTTGGCTCCAGAGACTCCGTTCTGCTAATCCTCTGGCGGTTTTCTGGGTTATTTAGGCAGGTGTAGGTGGAATCTAAGTGATCAGCAGGACGCGCTCCTATGCCACCATCTTCCTAGTAACCTATTGTGGTTTTGATTTGTGTAACATCTGAAATAAATAGAACATAATAAATAAATACATACATACATACCCTTATAAATAAATAAATAAATAAATACATAAATAAATAAATGTATGTCAATTCCCCTTCAAATAGAAACTAAAAAAAATTTTTAAAAATGGGGACATGAAGAGCCTTCCAGGAATAAGAAGCAGCCCCAATAAAGGTTCTAAGACAAGAGCACGTCTCTTATGCTCCAAGAATAGCAAGGAATCCTGTGGCTGCAGAAGCAGGTGAAGGAGGAGATGGCAGGAGAACGGGAGCAGAGCAAGTCCGAGAGTGACTCGGGCCAGATGGTGTAGGGATTTTAGGTCAATATTAAGGGGTAGTCAGAATGCTACTTTTTATGACTCTGAGATTGGCTCTCTTGAAGTGTGGCTTGGATAGTGGCCTGGAGCTTCCCCCTCCTGCATGAAAATAAGCAAATAATTACATAATCCTTTTTATTAATAGTTTGGATATAATGCTAAAGTAACCAATTAAAACAATTGTACTCAAAAGTTTGATTCAGCAGGAGTTAGAAACTGAGATGGTAAGTACAAAATTGAGATGGTAAAAGAGAAAGATCTTCAAATAAGGATCCCCAAAATATTCAAATAATATTATTGTAAATGCAAGTCACATGGAAGTAAGTTTAGAAAACATTTACAATGCAAAATAAGTTTTTTTTAAGTGTATTTATTTTGAGGAGCTCGTGCATGAGCAAGTGGGGGAGGGGCAGAGAGGGAGAGAGAGAGAATCCCAAGCAGGTGCCCTATGCAGGGGCTGAACTCACAAACCATGAGATCATGACCTGAGCCAGAATCAAGAGTCAGATGCTTAACCAATTGAGCCACCGAGGCACCCTTTGATCATTTCCTACCCTTAAAAATTTTTTTGAAGGTTTTATTTTTATTTTTGAGAGAGAGAGAGAGAGACAGAGAGAGAGACAGAGACAGAGGAGACAGAGGATCTGAAGCAGACTCCACATGACAGCAGAGAGCCAGATGCAGGTCTAGAACTCATGAACCATGAGATCATGACCTGACCTCAAATCTGATGCTTAACTGACTGAGCCACCAGGCAAACCTGATCATTCCCTATTCTTGAATAGGTTCCCAGCTATGCCATGTTGACTTCACATAAATCCACCTTGAAGGACAGCATTGACAAAAAAAAGAAATGTATGTATTATGTATATACTAAGATATACAATAAATACGTATTTCATATATGCATGAAAAATGTTTGTACACATTGGGACAAATGTATATAATTAAAACAATTGAGAATAAGTTGCAGGCATGATGCTTCTCTAAACATGTTAGTATTTCCTGAAAACAAAGAATTCTCTAACATAGCCACAGAACTATGATCAAAGTTAGAAACTTCACACTGATTCAATACTATCATCTAATTTACAGACTTTATTGATCTTGTACTGACTTGCCACAATAATTTCCTTTCTAACAATAGAAAATTCAACATCATCAGTTGCATCCAGTTTGTCACATCTCATTAGTGTCCTTTAACCTGGAACAGTTCTTGAAAGTGTGTGTGTTTCTGAACCACTTGATACTAATAATTTTTAAGTGTATAAATAAGTTATTTCATAGAATTTACCCTAATGTCAATTTGTGTTATGATTAGATTCAGGTTATGTACATTTGGGAAGACCACCACAGAAATGATGCTGAATTCTCTTAGTGCATCATGTCAGGCACCAAATGCTATTGGTTAGTCCAAACTCTGGCAATGATAATGTTAATCAATTAGTTAAGGAGGTGTTTCATTGTATTTACCTTTTGCAATTAATATGTATCTTGAAGAAGACACTTTGAGATTCTGCAAATATCTCACTATTCCTTAAACATTCACCCACTAGTTTTACCATGTATATTCATGATTCTTGCCTGAATCAATAATTACTATGACAGCTGCCAAATGGTGATTTTCTAATTCTATCATTCCTTCTACATTTATTATTAGCTTTCTAGCGTAGGCAGAGATTTTTCTTATTTATTTCTTCATTTAATTGATTAATTTACATTGTTATAGACTCATACATTTTTTATTCAATACGTTATAATCCTACCTATCATTATTTTGATGTTCAGATTATCTCAGATTTAGCCAGATCTTCAAACTGACTACTGTATCTTTTTGAGAGCATTCTTACATTTTTGCACTACTTATATTTTTTTTCTACTTCCCTTGACCCAGTCTTGGAATCAGCCATTTCTCCAAGCAGGCCTGCTTTTCTTCAGTGGAGAATGGTGTTTATATTCCAAGAGTATTCATTACTACTGGGTTGTTAATGTTTCTAAAATATCTTAGCAGATGGAGCTGGGAAGTGTGTGTGTGTGTGTGTGTGTGTGTGTGTGTGTGTGTGTGTAGGTATAGATGTGTGTATGTTTATGTGTGCATATATGTATGTATATATAAATGAATGAATACACACATTCATAATACACATAACTACACATATCTATACCCACTTCTACATATATTTTTTAAGTTTATTTATTTATTTTGAGAGAGAGAAAGAGAGACAGAGAGCAGGGGAGGGTCAGAGATAGAAGGAGAGAGAGAATCCCAAGCAGGCTCTGCACTGTCAGCACAGAGCCCAATGTGGGGCTCGAACTCACAAACCATGAAGTCATGACCTGAGCCGAAACCAATAGATGGACGCTTAACCAACTGAGCCACCCAGGTGCTCCCATTTCTATATCTATTTATGTCTTTCTATATATTAAAATCTCTGGAAAATGAATGAATGAGCCACAGAGAAAACAGGAGAAAATATTTGCAGTGCATATTTTTAAAGGGAATTTGTGTCCAAAATGTGTTAAGAACTTGATAATAAACACATAATGAATATATTATTTAAAACTATCCAGGCTATAAACATAGACATAAAATAAATGTGAATTAAGTAATATGAATAACATAAATATAACACATGTATATATTTATGTAATAAATAGAAATAAAAAATACAATAATAAATATACAAATAGAATAAAACATAATAATAAAAATATCCCACAAATGGAAAAAGTTTGAACATGCCCTTGCAAAGAAAATAGGTAAGTAGAAAACAAGCACGTGAAAAGGTGTGCAACATCTTTAGTCTTCAAGGAAATGTAAATTAAAATCACAACAAATATCACTCCCCTTAAAATGGCAGAACTTTTAAACAATGACAAGTATTGATGAGGATGTAGAGCAATTGGAACTTATAGGGCTGTGAAATGGTTCATCTGCTGAAAAAAATTTTTATCCATAGTCCTTGTGCATGAAACATATATCGACCCTGTAACTTAATGTTTTCATTCTTAAGTGCTTGCTCAAGAGAGATGAGATCCTATGTTCATAAAATGTCTCATGCAATAATGTTTCTGGTAGCTAAATTCATAATAGGGAAGATCTTGGAATCACTTAAAATGTTCACCTTGTGAATGGATAAGCAAACTGGTATATTGATACAATGGAGTGTTACTTGGCAACAGAAAGGAGAGAATTATTGATATGTGCATATCATGGACGAATCTCAAAAACATGCTGAGCAAAAGAAAACAGACATGAAAGAGCTCATCTTTTATGATTCCATTCCTATGGCGCTCGACAACAGTTACAGCTAACCTATAGTGATAGAGTTCAGAACAGCAGTTGCTTAGTGGTTAGGGTGGGAAGGGGAAAATTAACTGGAAAGGGGAAGAAGGGAACTTTTGGTTAATAGAAATCATCTATAGTCTAATTAGCTTATGGGTCACATAAGTGACAGAGATACATCTGTCAAAACTCATAGAACCATGCCCTTAAGATCCATGCATTTTCATGTATGTAGATGATACCTTGTGGCAGGCAGACTAATGCACCCCCTACCAAGATGTTCCTAATCCCCAAACCTGTGTATATGTTACCTTTGAAAGCATAGGACTTTGCTTATGTAATTGAGTTAAGGGTCTTGAGATGGGAAGATTCTCCCGGATTAGCCAATGAGAATGGATAATCATAATGTAATCATAAACTTTCTTACAGGAGGGAGGTGGGAGGGCCAAAGTCAGAGAGAGAAGAGGAGATGCTATTTCTGAAAGAGGACCATGAACCAAAGGATGCAGATAGACTCTAGAAGCTAGAAACAGCAAAGAATGGATTATCCCTGGAGCCTCTGGAAGGAACACAGCCCTGCCAACTTCATGATTTTGGCCTTGGAAGGTCCTTTTTTGGACTTCTGACATTCAGAACTGTAAGATAATAAATTTGTGTAGTTTTAAGTCACTATGTTTGTGGAAATTTGTAATAAGCGGCAGTAGTAAAGAAGCTAAGATATATAGGCATACCTCATTTTATTGTGTTTCACAAGTATTGCATTTTTTCATAAGGTGAAGGCTTGTGGCAACAGCATGGATCAAGTTTATCGGCACCATTTTTCCAACAGCATTTGCTCACTTCCTATCTTTGTGTCACATTTTGGTAATTCTTGCAAAATTTTAAACTTTTTCATTGGGCACTCACAATGTGCCTATTATATTTGTTACAGTGATCTGTGGTCAGTGATTACATCTCACCGAAAGCTCAGGGATAGTTAGCATAAATTAAGGCATGTACATTATTTTTTACAACATATGCTGTTGCACACTTAATAGGCTATAGTATAAACATAATTTATATGCACTGGGAAACCAAAAAACTCATTTGACTCACTTTTTTGCAACGTTTGCTTTATTGTAATATTGGCTTTATTGCAGTGTACCGGAACCAAAGCTACAGTATCTCTGAGGTATGTCTGTACTTCATTTTGAAAAAAAAAGGTATTAAAAAATGAACATGGGGTGCCTCAGTCAGTTAAGTGTCCAACTCTTGATTTTGGCTCAGGTCAGGATCTCACGGTCGTGAGATTGAGGTGGGCATGGAGTCTGCTTGGGATTTTCTTTCTGCCCCTCCCTTTCTCGCATGTGATTTCTCTGAAAATAAAATAAAAAATGCACTTAAATGAGCAGTCTCATGTGCTACCAAAAAATAAGTAAAAAAAAAAGCCATATTGTGGAACAGACCTGGACACTACTCTGAATTGTGCCATCTGCCAGTTCAGCAGTTCAGCTGTGGAAACTTTGGAAAGTTATGTAACATCTCTAAGGCTCAGTTTCTGAGTCTACAAAATCACGATTATTAAACCTGGTTTACCTCTCAGAACTGTCATGAGGAATAAAGGCAATAAAATAAGAAAGCATTCTAATAACAAAAGACCAAAAAGGTAAAGCCTTTTTTCAGTTAAAAAAATTTTTTTAATGTTTATTTATTTTTGAGAGACAGAGACAGAGAGAGAGACAGAGTGCAAGCAGGAGAGGGGCAGAGAGAGGGAGACACAGAATCCAAAGCAGGCTTCAGCCTCTGAGCTGTGTCAGCACAGAGCCTGATGAAGGGCTTGAACTCAAGTGCTGCGAGATCATGACCTGAGCTGAAGTCAGACACCTAACCAACTGAGCCACCCAGGTGCCCCTAGCAATTTTTTAGCACTGATCAGCTGGCACCTAAGAAAGAGGTCAACCTGGGTATTCTGTTCTTCAGTAGTCCTACTAAAGGTCAAACAATATTTTCAATTTCTTATTGATTCTCCAGAAAACTTTGAGAGGTTTGCTGGTGAGCCCAGGAGATAGGTGCCTCTGTTAAAGAGGACCAGGTTCCTTCATCAATTCCTCATTAATTAGCCAGATCCCCACCATGTCCCTTATCAGAGTTTCTCACTTGTCAGGCTTAAGGAATGAGTTCATTATATAATAATAATTAAATTTATTTTGAAGTTCTGGCAATTCAAGTCACTTAATGTTTCTTGGAAGTTCTGCTTCCATTCTTTTCTGCGGTCACCATCCTGGTTATAGCCCTCATAACTTCATGTCACACAAACTTGCTGGTGAGATTATCATCAGACTCATTTTCCTCAATCTCTCTGGCTCAAGAAGTCATAAGGGCTTCTTCTAACCTTGGGCAACAAATTCAAACTCCCCTGCATGGCCGCCAAGCATCTTTTTCCCTCCTCTCCTCTACATCTGCAATCCTATTTTTTTCTTTCCCCCTTATACATGTGTATTAGTCAGCTGTCATGAGAAAATACCACAGACTGGGTGGCTTAGAGAAGAGAAATGTATTTCTCATAGTTTTGAAGACCGGGGGTCTGAGATCAGGGTGCTGGTGTGGTCAGGCTCCCGCGAGAGCTTTCTTGCCTTTTCCTGTGTCCTCACGTGGCTGTGAAAGAGACTGAGCGTGCTCTCAGGTTCTGGTATCTCTTCTTACAAGGACAGTAACCCTAGCAGAAGGCTCCACCCTCATGATCCATCTGAACCTAATCTCCTCCCAAAGGAGGCGATCACCATCTCTAAATACCATCCCATGGAGGGGGCGGGTAGGGTTTCCACATGTGAATTTGGGAGGAGGGACACAATTCAGTCTGTAGAAACATATTCTGTTTCAGATGTAGTTTTACCTGCTTATTTAATCCTACTTGCTCCTTTCTTTGGGTTGGGCTGCTTGCTTTTATTTTCTAATTCTCTTCCTTTTCAAAACCCAATTCTAAATTCTAAGAAGCACACTTTCAGTTTAATCCTTCTTTTGTTGGGCTTTCTCCCATTTCATAAAATACTCCTTTGTGCCATTTTAGTTTGTGTATACTTGATTTTAAGCATTTTGCCATATATTTTTATTCTGAAATTACAATTGGGTTGTAGTGAGGCAAATGCCATATTTTGAAGAATAAATACTGCTATAAAGAGCATCTCTCTATTATGAAAAGATTTTGACAGCCTAACTAATGGGTTACCTATCTTTAGCACTATGAGACTCCATTATAAGCAAGAGGAGAAAAAGGCGCAGTAACTGAGAGTTGATTGTGGCAAGATTTAGAATCATTGGATTTTCAAGCCTCTATCTCTCATATTACATATTTTAAAACTTCACATCTTAAGAAGTGACTTAAGATCATATAGTTAGTTAATGGTGATGATAGAGACCCAGATGTCTTTCTTCCCATTCTATGGTTTATTTATTTATTATTTTTTAAGTTTATTTATTTTGAGAGAGAGAGAATCCTAAGCAGGCTCTGCACTGTCAGCGCAGAGCCCAATGTGGGATTTGAATATACAAACCGTGAGATCCTGACCTGAGCCAAAACCAAGAGTTGGACGCTCAACTGACTGAGCCACACTGGTGCCCCTATGGTTTATTTATTAAAATGTATTTTTCCACTGAAAGCCTAGTTGGTTCTATTCGTTTTCTGTTGGTGCTTAACAAATTATGACAAATGAAGCTGCTTAAAACAGACATTTATTATTCCCATAGCTTCCATGTTTCAGGAGTCTCAGCACAGTGGAAATGAATCCTCTGCTCAGGGTCTCACAAGGCTGCAACTAAGGTATTTGAGAGCTGGGGGTCCTCCTCCAAGCCCATGTGAGTATTGGCAGAATTCATTTCCTTGAGGATGTAAAATTCATAGCAACAACAAACTCATTACTTCTTCGAGGCCACCAGGAGAGTCTGTTGCTTCAAATCTCTGGCCTGTAAACCCTCTTTTAAAAGGCTTCCTAGGGCACCTGGGTGGTTCAGTCAGTTAAGTGTCCAACTCTTGACGTCAGCTGAGGTCATGATCTCACAGTTTGTGAGATCTAGCCCCACGTCAGGCTCTGTGCTGACAGTGTGGAGCCTGCTTGGGATTCTCCCTCTTTCCCTCTCTCTCTGCTCGTCCCCCACTCATGCTCTCTCTCTCTCTCTCTCTCTCTCTCTCTATATATATATATATATATATATATATATATATATATATATATACACACACACACACATACATACACACAAGCTAAGCTCTCCTTAGCTTATATATGTGTGTGTGTGTGTGTGTGTGTGTGTGTGTGTGTGTGTATATATATATATATTTTAAAAGGCTTACCTGATTAGATCAGGTCCTCCCAGCATAATCTCCATTTTGATGAACTCAAAGTCAGTTGATTAGGGACCTGATATTTGTAAAAATATCCTCACTTCTGTTATATAATGTAACCTAATCATGGAAAGGACACCCATCATATTTGAAGCACTCACCCACACTGTAGGCCAGAGGGTTATACTGGGTATGTATATTGGATTAATTTTTAAAAATTAGAACAAGTAACAACAGAGAAAAACAAAATCATTTCTGGTGTGGCTTTCTGAATAAAACACCATAATGTGTTTCTTTCTAGTCATTTGTTCTTGTTGCCCTTCCCTATTCCCCTTTGGGTTTTTTTTCTCCCCATACTTTAAAAATAGAGTCATATACTATATATAACTAAATCTGATACTTCATTCATTTGGCATTATTTTGTAAGAATTTTTACATGTTGTTCTATATCATCCCCACAGACATAATTTTTTCTTTAGTAAACATGTCTCTTTAGTGTGGAAGAAATGGGAAGTGTAGATAAGCAAAAAGGGAAAATAAATCAAATTGCAATATTCAGAATTCAGCCTGAGTGTCATACACTTTCAGATTTTTTATTTTGGTCTGAATATTTTGAGTATACTCATATAGATATATTTCAAGGTGGAGACAATTTTTGGACCTCACCTCTCGGCATTCAAATTTCCCTTTGGGGAAGATGTCACAGTACTAAAAAAAAAAAACACTCTGATAATTCCTTGGGGCATAAGATGGGACTCTGAGTTTCAGGATATTGGATGATGTCAAGATGTCAGAGAAGGAGAAAGCTACACAGCAAGGTGGAGGAGCAGAATCTGGAGCTCTCAGGAAGTGTGGGAGGTGGGAGTGAAGAGCTGATAGAGGGAGAGAGGAGGGACAGAGAGGTGATGGTACACTGCTGCACACTGTGCAATGTTCCTTTCCCCAGCTCAGTTTTCATTGCATCTGCTAGAAGTTTGAATTCTTGGTGTGAAGGATTTGTTGATGCAATGCAGGGTTTCTCAGCCTGGGGACCACTGACCTTTTGGGGCTGGATAATTCCTTGTTGTGCAGTCCCTGTGCACTGAAGAGTGTTTAGTAGCATCCCTGACCTCTACCAACTAGGTGCCGATGGCAGCCCCCCTTCCATTTATGACAGCTAAAAGTATCTCTAGACGTTGCCAAGTATCCCATGGGGGCAAACTCAGTTGAGAACCCCTGTTGTAATGGAAATGGTAGGAGTGGCTACGTTTTTGTGTTGGGTGATTATGTTGGCTTTGTAGTATGCCAACTTGTCTAGGCTCAACCGCATTCTCCAGTGG